TAGTTAAATAGTAACAAGTATACAAGTATGTAAATGAATATAAATTAAAGAAGCCAACAAAACTATTAGCGAAAAGAAATACCTTCCTTTTTATTTAAATTACAAAAAGTTATGCTATTTTAATTTATATTAATTTGTTTATTTTAAGATATTTGAGTTCCTTTTTTAAGAAATAAAATCATGCTAAATATCATAATATAAAAATAAATATATGCATACATATGTTTTCTTTTCATTCTGTACCTCTTTATTTAAAATACGTACATACATATACGTACATACATGAACGGGGAGTCGTAGGCATGTCTTTGAAAATTTCTGAAAAATACGGAAAGTTTCAAGTTCTTCAACAATTTTTTCGGGAAAAATAATCAAATACATCTGTATTGAGAGCAACAGATGTAAGCTCATGAATCGAACCCATCAAATGTTATATAAAAAATTCAAATACAATTACCTTTTTTCTGGTCAGTTGACGCGTTTTTTTTTATTTTTATTTTTTTTTTTAATTTTACAGATAGGTTTCAGTGCATTTCAAACATTTTTCAATTGCCTCAAAAACTTGTATACATAGATATATGTATATTTTTTTCGACAGGTATATGCAATGATATATCGTCAATCGCATAAGTACCTAGATCCACATCTATGTAGGTACATCTGGACCAGAGAACTGCAACGAGTATGTTCGGCCACCCTTGCTGAAAATTCAATCAAATCAGATCTTTGCTTGGTTGCAAACGAGCACGAACGAATTGAGTACTCTCAGCATTTTTCTTATGATCGAACTTGCATGAGCAATCTTTCCATTTTTACGAACAAGCACCGGTCTTGATTGGTTTGCTTTCGAGCAGACCAGGCTCGTCCACTTTGCTTATTGCGGTCGGTTCGAACGAGTACCGGCCTTGACTGGTTTGCTTTCAAACAGTTCAGGCTCGGTCACTTCGAGTATTCTGTTCGGTGCGAACAGGTACTGGGCATGATTGGTTTGATTTCAAACACGTCAGGATCGGTCACTTCGTTTAAAATGACTGAGTCCTGATCGAAGCAAGCCAGACTTTGCAGAATGAGCGTTTGATCGAACGAGTATAGTGCCGTTATTTGTCGAGTATTGTTTGGGTATTGCGCGAGCTGTACTCGGGTAATACTCGAGTATTCCGCGGGTTTTACCCGAGTATGACCGTATAAAATATGCATGTATGTACATATTTATGTATTTGTGCGTGCATGTGTTGTTTACAATTATACAGAAACATGTGTATATGTACATATGTACGTATACGTATTTTAAATAAAGAGGTACAGAATGAAAAGAAAACATATGTATGCATATATTTATTTTTATATTATGATATTTAGCATGATTTTATTTCTTAAAAAAGGAACTCAAATATCTTAAAATAAACAAATTAATATAAATTAAAATAGCATAACTTTTTTTAATTTAAATAAAAAGGAAGGTATTTCTTTTCGCTAATAGTTTTTTTGACTTCTTTAATTTTTATGCATTTACATACTTGTATACGATGTTACTATTTAACTAATATCAGAAAAAACAATAGAAAATGCACGTGCACCCGCCATTGGTCATGTTCGATCATTACTTGCACGCAGGCAAAAAGTTTCGGTCACCGCCGCTCATTCTGACACTTTTTGGAGTAGTGAGTCAAACTGACTGGTTGGCGAGCGTTCGTTCACAACCGGTCATTGCTTGCATTCATGCAAAAGTTTTTGCAGTTTTGAATCAAAACTTTTGATTCGAACTGAGTGTTCGTTGAGGGCTCGTTCGCAACCAGTCATTGCTTGTCACTATACCCAAATGAAATAATCATACCGAGTATGGGTAAATACTCGAGTATGACCGAAAATGTAGTCCTCGTTGCAGTTTTCTGGTACGTACATATATAGCATGTATGTACAATCGTATGTATGTATGTATGTATGTATGTATGCATACATTGGACAATCGAGCACTGTTGTTTGATTGTAATAAATAATGTTCTATGGTTTTAAATGAAATTTTTAAAACGAAAACAACAACAACTGCAAGTCATTGGCTCGCGCTTCTTCTTTCGTTTTGATCATTTACGCCTTTGGCAAAATGCCAAAAGTTTACAGCGATAGTAAAGCAGAAACTGAAAGCGAACATATATACATATGTATGTTTGTATATGATTTGTTCTAAATGATCTCAATAAATTATAAGATGTTATTATTTAAATTTTCTGTTAATTGCATTCAAACTTCGATGGAATTATTGATTGTAACGACGGATTCAACTATCGATAGTTTTGATGCTCTAGCACATAGAGCATCCGACATATATTTACAGCGACTTACCGTTTTAGTGTTACCTAACAACGCTACAAATGTATTCTGAACAAATCTAAGTCATTTACCGTTAAGCCTATTTGTGAGTGTATTCATGCGATTTACAAAAGCAAAAACACACCTTTTACATTCACAACAATCACATTTGGAATTGAAGACACAAATTAGTGTTGAATTAAAAAATTTAATACATACTTATATATGTATCCGCCTATATACGGATAACGCTTGCATGAAAAATGTAAATGTATGTACATATCAGCACTGCCGAACGCTCCAATTTTGGCGGGACGTCCCGATTTATAAATCAAAATTAAATGTCCCGCGTCGGACTTTTCGGGGATAACACGACCGTGCGTACACCGTGCTGAGGAAGCACACAGTTAAGTCACGAACGGTGCGTAACGAAGATATGTACATATGTATGTATGTAATCGTATAACCATACATAGTACTTATTGTACTATATTTGCTATTTGGCGAATGAACTCTTTAAAAAACTTTAGAGAGAGTCGAAAGAAGAATTTCATATAGTAAATAATCTTATAAGCACATTTTACTTAGCCCAGCAAAGACGGACAAGACCTGCTAGTACAAGTATATAAGAAAATATATACATATGTATGTATATATTTATTTTTTTTAAGAAAAGATTTAAAGACATTTATACGTAAATATATTTGCTCTAAGTAATAGCTCATTAATCATACAGTTAATAGACCTCCCTACTATATACTTGTATGTATGTTTTATATATATCCGGGCTTGGAGGAGCTGGTTGTGGCAGAAGAAAATAAAGCTTTGTTCTTAGATATCAAAAGGCAGAAAACGACGGCCTCTTTGGTCTTTTTCTACTTATTCCGGTTCCGTGAAATTCGAATATAAAGTGTAAATGCGGACTTGTCACATTCTCAGTTGTTGTATACACACCCACAAGGGCGTAGGCAGCTTTTACCAAAGGGGAGCCAAAAAATTAAAATTTTTATTAAATAAATCACGATGCATTTAAAAAATAACTTATGCATATGATCAATGAAAAAACTTCAATAAATCCAACTCAGATCCATTTTAAGGCGAAATATTGGGTCTTAATAATGAACGTGTGGTCGACTTTATATGGCAACATTTTTTGCCTACGCCCTTGCACACCCAGGGCCTTTTATTAAATATTATCAGTCTTGGCTCAGTTTTCAACCAATAGGACCGGAATTGCACACTTAATGTGTAAATAAAGAAATAAAATCTAAAAAAATAACATATTTAACTTCGTTATTAAAGTAATTCATTACATTTTTATTGTTTGGCCGGCTCGAGGTCAGAGTAAGAAAAACCAATTTATTTAATTTTCTTTTCTTTTTCCGATATATTTCGGTTACGCCACGGTAACCGTCTTCAGGGCAATTATTTAAGCAAGTCTGCTCTGTTTGACTTGGAGTTACTAACTGTTAGTAACTCCAAGTCAAACAGAGCAGACTTGCTTAAATAATTGCCCTGAAGACGGTTACCGTGGCGTAACCGAAATATATCGGAAAAAGAAAAGAAAATTAAATAAATTGGTTTTTCTTACTCTGACCTCGAGCCGGCCAAACAATAAAAATAACTATGAGGAAGGTCACCAAAATACTCAACGTAATTCATTACAATAAAAGTAAAATAACTTATTCCACTACAAAGCTATCCTAAACACATACAATTGGTAAGCACATATACGTGCATACCGGATCAGATTTTGAGATACATTGGTTTAGCTGTGAACCGGGGCATAGCCTGCCGGATTGGCTAATAAATCTTCCTCCACCGGGCCAGAGATTCCTTTTTATATACATATTCTTATACCCTGTACCCAAAGGGTAAAAGGGTATGTAACACACACATGGCAAATAAAATCCCTGATCGAGCTTAAAGCTTTTATTAGATATTATTGTAATTTGATGTGATTTTTCCAACATATAATTTTCTTGCTAATAAGACTTTTTTATAACTTTTATTATTTATTGTTTTACCTAAATCGACAGTCCATTTTTGTCGACATTAATTTTAAATATTTTGTCGTGGAAAAGATCTCTTGCTTATAATAAAATTCAATTGCTAATTGAAGAAAATAAATGAAGAACTGAATTAAATAGGACAAACAACATTTTCGAAGGAAGGCAAAATTGACCTTTTAAAAATTCAGGCTTCATCAATACGCAGAACGTTTTTGCCAAAATAACAAACATTTATTACAGACTTTTAGACAAATTTATTTTCGTTTCATGTCATTACGAGATCGTTGTGGAATGTTTACACAATACCATTTGTTTGGGTATTAAAATAAACTTATAGTTCACATGATATTTCAAGGCAATTCCTTCAATAAAAAAAAAATAAAATAAAAAATACATACGAACAGCAATAATTCACTGAATCAACGGCCGATAAATGGCATTTTCTCACAGTCAATAAATAATAGTGTGTAAAAGAAAATGCATTCTGAGGAACTCAGCATTTTGTTTATGGTCCCATATTAAACTTGAACCTATTCAAATTTTTCGTTGTATTTAGTCCTTTTTGAGACGTTTGTTTTGCCCCCCAATTTATTAAGTACGTTGCATACCAAAAAACATTAGGCAACATTGACGCATCGTTTTGTAAAAATCGATTTATTTTTTTTACAACCCTAGTTTTGCCCTAGTAACAGCAGCGCGAAAGTACTTACAAATTTCGACGAATGGATTGAGTTAATCAGACATTTAAAGTGTGGAAACGTTTTACTGGGTAAATAAAGTACACGGCGTTTGGAGCCTCATTTCTTAAGTGTACATTTTTAAGCAAAACCTTACTATTTTGTACAATTACTTTTGTCAAGGTTGTAATTAGAGTGAAAAATCAATACCGTTACACCCTTGCATTGTTGTGTGTGTGAATTTTGTGTTTCTGCTCTTCGACTTTTGCATGCATTTTATATCGATGTTCAAATACAATGTACAATGTGTGCTACAATAAAATTATAGTTTCCGGTCTCGTTTCCCTTATCCTGCCTACAAACAAACGTTGTTCATCCGAAACGAGTCGGTCCTTCACTACTAGAATTTAGAGCAAACTACACTCGCGCAACGTCGGCATGGATTTGTACCGACTTTTTCCTTTCTTTTTTTTAGAACGGTTTTTGGAAGCTTAGTGATTATTCGTGCCCTTTGTAATGTAATTTAATATACATTTATGTACATACATATGTATGTATATACTCAAGATGCTGATTATTTTCTCAACCACATGGCAACAGCAGCCAAATAAGCAGCGAAAAAGTAAAAGAAACTAATCGGACTTGTAAAATATCTTTAAGCATGGCAAGCTCTGTGACATCTACTGCGGCTAACTCAGCAGCAACAGAAGATATTTCCATCCCCACACCGTCGCCGTTGGAAACCACACCGGCCAGAACTTTAAAACGATTGGGCCATACATCACCATCGACATCGGTTATATGTGAGGAAGTATTTGACGATGCATATCCGCCATCAACAGAGGGTGAGTTTCACCTCAAATGAATAAAGAAAAACACATACATATGTTTGTATGAATTTCATACTATATGTTCTTAATACATTCAAATTGATTTTTAAGTTTTATTAAAATGTCCGATATATGTACATACTAAACATATACATAAATACATATTGTACATGTACATATGTATGTATGTATATTGTACCAGTTATAGACAAACATTCTTAATCCATGTATACATATGTTGTACATATGAATATAATGAACGCACCAGACATATATATAAACATACTAGAAAAATAAAAGAAACTAAAAATCCATGATTAGTTTAAGACACAGCTTATTTCGTGTAGTGGCCTTTCAGCCTTAAAACAAAGTATTTTAAAATAATATTTGATGTGGCCACCTTTCTGTTCGATAAGAGTTTGCCAATGGTTATTGATAGAAGCCACCAATTATTTTGTAGTTTCCAATGGTATTTTTAGCCATTCTTCCAATAGGGCTTCCTTATGGTCGTACGTATACATGTGTTTGAAATTTGCCGTTTGCGAATCGCCAAATCGAAAATTGCCAAAAAATTTTTATTTCATTCAAGTCTAGCGACTGGTCTGTTGGATTCTTTTTGGTTGCAATATGTTCCATTTATGTACGTTTTTTTAAATAAAAGATGCAATGCTCTAAACTCACTGAACATGTTAAATTAAAATTTTAAATAATACTAGCTACAAAGCGTTTACTTGCTATAGCATTTTACAGATTTTTTAACAACGCCTGCAAATAAATAAATAAAATAAATATTTGGGGTAATGGCAATCAATGACTGGTTGTGAACGAGCCCTTAACGGACACTCAGTTCGAATCAAAACTGCAAAAACTCAGAAGTGAGCGGTTGTGATCGAAACTTTTTGCATGAATGCAAGCAATGATTAGTTTTAAGCGAACCCCCAACAACTAGTCAGTTCGACTCAAAACTGAAATGGCTCAGAATGAGCGGTTGTGACCGAAACTTTTTGCTGAATGCAAGCAATGATCGAACGTCGTATTTACAATCATATCCGCATGACCGAAATGTTCGCTAGAGTTTGCGTAATTCTCAAGTCATAACACCGACAATGACCTCGGCACTTGCACCGACACTTATCTTGACATAAGACAACAGCAACTTCCTTTTTATTTAAATTAAAAATAGTTATGCTAGTTTAATGTATGTATATTAATTTGTTTACTTTAAGATATTTGAGTTCCTTTTTATACTCTGCACATGAAATGTACAAGAGTATACTAGGTTTGCGGGAACTGAAAAATGTAACAGGCACAAGGAGGCGTGGCAGACCCCACAAAGTATATATATTCTTGATCAGCGTGACAAGACGAGTCGATCTAGCCCTGTCTGTCCGTCTGTCCGTATGAACACCTGGATCTCAGAGACTATAAAAGATAGAGACACCAAATTTTGCACAAAGATGCTTTGTTTTATTTTTTTGATTCCCCCCCTTCCCTCTATGGGGGTTTTCCCGATTTTCCATTCGTATAATCGCCTATATCTCGGAGACTATAGGACCTAGGAACACCTAATTTTAGTCCAAGATGACATGTGAATACGCAGAAAAAATGCATTTTGGAATTTCCCTCCCTCCCCCATCTCCCCCGCAAATCGTAACTCCCGTAACTCTTGCAATTTCGAACTCACATTTGCAAATGCCCCCAGTTAGCGTTTATGAGTCCGTATGCCAAGTTTCACTATGATAGATTTAACAAGAAGTTATAGCCAAAAATATATTTGCTGCCCACGCGCTGCCCGCAGCTGTTGTTGATGCTGATGCTTTGCAAACATACACTCACATAAACGCACTTGCCTTGTATATGTGCAATTATACACCCTTACCGTGAGTTCAAATGCCGAGAGAGGTAAAATCGATCGAAATTTTTTTTTAAATTTTTTTAATTTCTATAATTATTGTAAGCATATGTACAGAGTATTTCAAAATCGGGACACCTGAATTTAGGTTTTTTACTTGATTAAGAAATACAATCATGCTTTATATCATAATATAAAAAAAAATAAATATGTTTTGTTCCAATTCTGTGACTCTTTATTCAAAATACGTACGAACATACATACATATACGCATGTTTGCGCATATAATTGCAAACAACAAATGCACGCAGAGCTACATAAATATGCACATGTATGCATTTTGTTATACGGTCATACTCGGGTAAAAACGACGCAATACTCGAGACATACTCGGGTAAAGCCTGTGCAATACTCGAGTAATACCCGAGCACAACTCGCGCAATACCCAATCAAGACTCGAGCAATATTCTCGAAAGTCTGGTTTGTTTCGGTCAGGAACCAGTCATCTTAAACGAAGTGACTGAGCCTGAACTTTTTGAAAGCAAACCAATCAAAGCTGGTACTCGTTCGAACCGACCGCAATAAGCAAAGTGGCCGAGCCTGGTCTGCTCGAAAGCAAATCAATCAAGTCTCTCTCAACTCGTTCGAACTCGTTTGCAGCCAAAAATTTCGGCAAGGGTGATCGAACATACTCGTTACAGTTCTCTGGTTCGTACATAAAAGTGCCGAGAACTATACAGGGGTGCCACAGAAATCTCCGGTGGTTTCGGCTACAGTTGTTTTTGAACACAACACTAATCGTGTTTAAATTCTGTAACGTACTAAATTAAATAAAAAAGAAATATGCCATTTGCATTAATATAAACCAGCAAGAATTTGCGGAAACGCCAATAAAATTTTGAAAAAATAAAACGCAAATGTTTGAGAAGCGCACCTGATATTTTTGTATAACATTTAGAATTTTGCGCAATGTCGTGGTGTGCTTCCATAAATTGGACGAAAATTGCGTCCTGTTGTGGCGATCTATACTTTCCCCTGCAAAAAACTAGGATTTGAAATTGAATTCAGAAATTACAAAAATGTAGTTGCATCTTGTTTTAAATGGCGGTTTATTGCCATTCATATTTTCGCTAACACACAGACCTGCCACTTGACGATACACAATTTTCGCCAAGTTTGTTTAATTAATACAAAGTTCCTTGGTATTTACTATATTTTAAACAAGAATTGCGTCAAATATATATTTTATTACCCAAAGGGTAAAAGGGTATACTAGTTTAGTGCGAATGTAACACCCAGAAGGAGGCGAGGCAGACCCCTAAAAGTATACATATGTATATATTATTGATCAGTATGACAAGCCGAGCCGATATAGCCATGTCCGTCTGTATAAACGAAAGGATCTCAGAAGATACAAGAGTATCAGAAGAGTATCAGAAAAAAGAGTTTTTCTGATGTTCAATGATGTCCGTATGCGTACGTACTTACAATGCTTTACCGCAAGCTCTGCTGAAGGTCTGGAGCCATATTTTCTGTCTTGAAGCCATACAGGTGGATTTAGATCAGATTATAGCGAAGAAGATGCCGACCTTGTTTAAAGTTCAATATGAGATTCTCTATCATTTCATTAAATTAATTCAAATTTACTTGTATTAAAAAAAAATTATAAAATATAATCATTTTTGTTTCAGAAATTTGTGAATATGCATCGCTGATTGGCATTGATCCAATCAAGGAGCCGCATTTGCTATATCTGGCCAAGGAGGGTTTGATGGCTGCAATGCCCTCGGATTGGAAAATATGGTAAATTAATAATTGGAAAAAGATACAATAATAATTTTAGGGAGTTCATGCAACACATTTTTTTTATTGCAGCTACTCTGAAGAGAAGAGCGGACATTATTATTACAACACACGCACCAAACAATCACAATGGGATCATCCACTGGACGCTGTGTACCGGGACCTGGTGCATCAAACGAGGCAAAAAACCATCGGTGGTAGCACACCTATTATTGACAATTCGGATGATGTGTCGCAGTTGGATTCGGGAATTCGCAGCATGCAGGGTACTGACGAGCTCGTAGATGATATGAGTTCCGCGTTAAACAATGGTGGAGGCCACGTCCAGAAGACGACAATAAGCATTCCAGCAACGGTATCAACAACATTGGGCACCACATCGCCCAGTTGTTCTGTTGCTCCCAGCAGCTTCAGCGGTGGTGTGAGCCGCTTTTTGGAATCACGTAACAAGAACTTTGGGGGCATCTTTCAGATGGTGAAAAATTCACGCTTCGAGGTGGCCAAGACTAATGCACAGATAAATCTAGCTATGAAATTTCACGCGCCAGAACAATCGGATCAGCTACTGGACCATCAACAAGGGACGATTGAAATTCAAAGCGAAGAAAGCGGTGGTTTTCATCTGACAGGTACGGGCGCAATGTTTCTTAAGTCGCGACGTCAGCTGGATAAACCAACAGTGAACGCAGTTGCACCTGTCAATGATGGTGTCAGCGATAACCGTATATTTGGCGATTTTCTCAGCTCCTCGCCTGGTGTTAAAGGCATTCTGCGTGATTCCAGTTTGACAGATATGCGTCGACGCCTGGAACGCAATGAAACCGCCTTAACTGAGACAGAAGACAAAAAGATTGTGCGTTTTAATCTAGAAGAAACACAGCGTTTGCGCAGCTCACCCGAAGAAGATGCCAGCGGTGGGAGTGCGCGGAAGCTTACACAAAGTCCTGAATTGTCTATTAACTCTGATGATGTTGTGGATGATGACGACGCGGAGGGCGCAGACGATGTTGAAGAGGATGATGATGACGATGTTTGGGATGAGGATGGAATTGATCCAGATGCTATGGAGGGCATGTGTAGTCTGAATCCTTTTATTACTAACGATCCAAACAAACCCGTACGCATTATTAACCTACCTAAAGCACAAACCATGCAAATGCTTAAGACGTTGCCAACAATGGATAAAGCAGGAGCATTGGATTTGGGTGGGACAGGTTCAAATGGTAGTTATTTAGATAAGCTTAAGGAAAATTCGACTGTAAAGCCTTTGTACGAGGACACAGATTCTGATTCAAAGGGCAGCTCTGTACGCAGCTTTATCATTAATAAGTCCGACCAGGACTCTATGCATTCGAGTAATCCCTTTGATTTGCATGAGCTTGGCCGTCAGCATAAAAATGAAATGGATCAGCTACAACGTAAATTACATCAGCAATTGCAGCCACAAGGAGTGTCATCACTGACTACCGAAAAGCTAGGTGGCTGTTCCCTTAAAATAGCCAGCAAACTGGTGGGCTTGCTCAAACAAAAGGACAATACTGGGCAAAGTATAGATCCCGTAGACCCAAAATCTACAGTCCAATTGGATGAAGAGACTGATATCATAAAGCGCGAGTATGACGAAAAACTTAAGAGCATGCGACATGAGTACAATTTGCGCCTGGCTTCACATCGGCATCAGTTGGAGGAGGCTTATGAGCAACAATTAGACGAAAGTCGTGCTCAAATGGAGCAGCAGCTTCAAGCCAAACGATCACTGGTAATCAATGATCACAAGGCGCGTATGGCAACTCTACAAACTAATCATACGGAGATAGTGCAAGAACTGGAGCGTGATTTGCGTAGTGAAGAAGAAATACTGCGCCGAGAGCATACTGCAAAGCTGGCGCAAATGCGCGACAAGTTCAGGCAGGAGCTAGAGCACGAGAAACAGCGACTACTAGAAACTGGAGAGGAACGCCTTTATGAGAAAGTACGTTGTGAAAAACGGCTATTAGAAGACAAGTATCGTTGTTTAAAAGAAAAGTATGTACGCCTCAAGACTGATGTTAAGCTTTCGCTTGAGCGACGAAATCAACGCCGTGAGGCGCAGGCTTTGCAACAGCATACAAACACTAATACAAACACAACAACTGGATCGGAAACAGAGCGTTCCATCTCCAACAAGCCATCCATAGGAAATAGTGAAAATCGTTCGTTGAGCTACTCAGAACAGGTAGCAGCAGGTGGCAGTAAGAATGCCCCAGTAGGTAAGCCACCTGTGCCACCTAAGACTCATTTATGTAAGCCAAGCATTGGATCCAAGTACAGTAAACAGCTGCAACTGCAGGATGACAACACCACATCAATAAGCCAATCGGATACAACCATGTCGAACAATTATAGCAAAAGACGTTATTTGCCTGGGCCTACGTCAGGGGGCGGACTTGGTACCCTTCTCAGTGATAATGGCAATTCGGACTCAGAAGCTGCAATGCAATGTAATCTTGAAAATAACAACAATAACAGCAACAAATCGGGGCCACGAAAGAAGCTTTTTTCCCGTACAAAATCTGCTTCCACATCGCGTCTCAACTCAGCAGAGCCTAATTACAAGCAGCATCAGCAGCATTTTCTCGATCGTTCATGTACACCTGTTGAAAGTCTGCGCCATCAGTTGCAAAAGCTTGAGGATCTGGAGGATCAGTTTCCCGATCACACACTGGATATTACTTACCATTTGCGTTATCCATTCACAGATATATCCAATGAGCACGCCATTGGCGTTGGTTCCGAGCTGGAGTTTTTCAAGCATCGTATACACTTAGAACGAGATTCAGTGCGTCGTGCAAAAGAATCGCTTCGCACGCAGCGCACCAATTTTCGGGAGCGCCAACGCGAGATGAAGCAAAGACACAAGGCGTTTAATTTGCTTTTAGCACCACGTCACACGCTTGATCAGCTAATACAAGAGGAGAAAGAGCTAACTGAAATGGAAGTTAATTTACATCGCACGCGTGCGTTGCTTGGTGAAAAGGTGATACGGCTACGCCATTTGGAGCAGAGTTTGTCGCGCATATATGAAAAGGAAAAGCCCACTGTAGAGGTAGAGGTGAAAGATGATACGACTACGCTTAGTGATTTATCCTCGCATACCAGTTCTGGCTTTAGCAGCACGGATTTTGCCAGTGGAGCTGACTTGCATAAACGCAAGGAATATTTCCAACAAGAGTCTAATGACTGCATTCAAAGTCTTGAGACCCTAAATGCGGAGATATGTGAAGTACTTAAAATACTGAGTCAGAAGCAGCAGAAACAGCAGCCACAAACGCCATTGACCCAGCGTCATACAATGCCTATGATATCTCCCAACGATTTGAGCTGGTCGAACTTTCTCAGTCATCCTGGAACAGTGACTGCCGACGTTACAATGCAGATAAACACTTCGACGCATAGCACAAGTAGTGCAGGCTCAGCTGTTCTCCACGCCCCACAATCCATTCCCACGTTAGCCGATCGCTTAGAGACTTATCGTCACCTGGCCGCCGGTCGTATGCAGAGCTCCATGGGCGGCGCATTACTTGCGGCTAACACTATTGTGTCACAGAGCCCACGCGCTGTCAACTATACGACCAGTTTGGTAGAGCGCACACGAGACTTACGCAACTGGTTGCGTCAGGCTAAGACCGAGCACGAGCTGCTAACTGGAATACAGCATGGAATGACGCTGCACACGGCAGCTGAAGGTGGTGTAGGTGAAGTTAGAGCAGTTCATGAAAGTGCGGGGGGAGGGGCTGCAGCTGAAGGGACGGCATTAGCGAACTCTGAATCCCAACCACAGTCTAATCTGTAGAACTTACTACTAATCATGTTATTTCGTCGAAAAATGACCTATGCGTTAGTCGTTTGAACTCAGTTATGTTTCGAAGTGAAGAAGAATTGAAGTAATTTTTCATGCATGTTCAAACTAGTCAAAGTTTAGTTGTTAAATTGTATATATACATATACTCAATATACATATAATAGATATTGATAAAAACGAAACAAATGCGAAACTGAAATTATTTTGTTTCGTTTTACGATGAAATAACGATATTTTGATGTTTGTGCTCGTTAGTGGATGCACATAATAAGGAAAACATGCATAGAGTATACACCAAAGGTGTTAACTCGTTAAATATTGAAAATTGTACAATTAACAATCACTTTTTGAATTATAAAAATTGTTATTTTATGCTCTTAATTTTATGCCGAGCTGGTCTCGGTACATTACCAATCGAGCATCTATAGCGGGCCATACCCTCTTCAATCTGATCGTTATTTTTTCGTGTGAGCGTTGGTCACTACATCAAATACCACATCGCCGGCATGTTGGATGTCAAAAATAAAATCTATCTCGAATAGAAAAGTCGCCAATTAAAGACTACATTAAAAATTAACGAAAATATTATTGCTTTTTTTGTCAGCTTGTTTAAATGATTACATTTTATATTAAAAAGTCATTAAGTATATGTATATAGTATATGATTATTATAATTATTATTTATACTCTTCACTGAAAAGAACAAGACCTAAGACCACATGTTAGGTACTAAATCGAGTCACGAAAAAGTTTGACACTGACGCTTTTTGACGGACACAGATATTATGTCGAGACCAACCAGATAACTATATCATATGCTGATCTGCAATATAAAAGGTTTTATTTAAGTACGATTTTTGTATGAAATATTGATTATAACAATATTAGAACTAAATTGAATATTGAGAATATTATACCTGATGGTGCATCATCATCACGATTGAAATCAAGCCTGATATCTCGGCTTGGTTTCTATATTTTATCTTGATCAGGAAATAGTGTGTCTGTTTGACTCCTATTTTCACGCAACACGATCGCGATAAGATTGAAGCATGTATGTCCTGCAAACTGCATTACATAACAACAATATGAAGACTGTAAAATCGGTCACATTAGCCAGAACATTTTGATCATTAATCAGTGATCACTGACAAATACCTTTTGAATGCACTGATCTCTAAATCCACTGATCGAGGTCCCCTTAAATTTATCACAAAAATTATATGATAATTTGGTGATCATTTTCGGTTTGAACACACGACCCAGCATGTATTTGAGGCAAACATAAATAATTGAAATATTATAAATGTTAAACTTGTTTATGAAAAAAATTGTAGTATAGTACATAAATCTTAATAGGAGGGCTTACCTGATGTGTTATTCCAGTCCCCGGGGAATTATCTATATAAAATATGAATATATACAAGTATGTATGAGTTTACTGAAAAGTATCACGTTGTTGCTGTGATCAGTAGTCAGTGTTTTAATTGATCACTGATCAAAATTCTCTTGTGAACGCGCCCATTTATAACCCCTCCTTTGTTTAAATAAATATTTTAATAAACCTCGTGCTAATAGGAGCTTTAAATAATATAAATGGTTTCCTGTAACTAATATCCATATCCTTAATTTCGTATGTATGTGCCGTCAATTTTGACATTCTATTCCAAAGATAAGTTTTATGTGCACGTTTGTATCGAGTGCAATGGTTAAAAGAAATTGTTTAAAGGTTGTTTCTTCATATTTGTTTACAATAAACAGCTTCAGCGATTTCCATTGCTTATTATTTGTCGAATACAGTTGCATGTATCATTCGGACACGAGTTTTGTGTAAAGTACGGCAGAAGGAACTATCTCCGACATAAATTGTATCTATTTATTTGTTTAATCTGTGTCTCTGAAATCGACTGTCCCACGAGTTTATTTTAATTTGTTCCACCCCTGCCCCGCTGCAGTATTTTGTCAATGCTGTCCACAATTCCAAAGCCACAAATGTACATTTCGTAAATGTAATCCTGTATATCGGCTTTCAATTTTGTCCAAAAATGTAATCCAAACAAAGTTACAACTTCCGTCGGGCTTGCTTGACTTTAACGTTAACTTTTTTACTATTCCATATCATTGTTCTTACATAAAATAGACGTGGCAGACCCCATCTTTTAGTTAGATAAACAACACTACGATATAGGGAATTTTAGTGCCCATAACATGCAAAAGTCGCAACCAATTTTAAATACATAAAATAAACAATAATACAAATTATATCTTCATACCATATTTTGTACATTTAGTTAATAGTTTGGGTTAAATTATATTTTGTAACGAAATGTTTTACATTTCCCAAGGAAATCGAAAAAGAAAGTGGTAGTTAGGGTTCACAATCATAAAGATAAATTATTTAGGCATCTAAACGGTTGTCGTTCATTAAAATCTATATACGCGTTCACCCAAATTCTCTGTTTTCCAATTTCCATGTTTAACACGTTTTGGCCAAAGGCAAGTTTTAGTCTTATAAGCGAACCTGCTGGGCAACAATAAAAAATGCGTACTATCCGTTTTCAAGTTTAACTAAAACAGCTTAAACTTTATTTTGTTAAAACTAACGTGTTATTTCAAAAATAGTTTTTTTCTTTCTGATAATGATCGTGAACTTACACTTAAGATTCTCTTATATCACTTCACATATCATATCGTTCATCCCCAATCCGAGAAATTAATTGTTAGTGACAGTGATTATTAGTGATTATCGGAATGAGTGTTGAATTAACCTTTGTTCTGTAGTTTCGGATTATGCGGCATAATTTAAGGGTGCTCCCTTATTCAGTGGCTTGAGAAAATATTTTCCTTCTTAACGTAGGCCACATGTTACTATATTTCCCAATTGCAGCAAGCTCTACCACCCGACATTTTGAATAGCAAGCTTAAAATTCAGATAAGAAACTCAAATCGCATCAGACACCCATGCCTCTTACGAAAAGCTGCCTGTGAAAACAGCTTGAAACATTTGTGTTCTGAATGGCCATAATAATATATAATAAATAATTAAAGCAAAATCTAATTGGTTTTAATTCAAAGTACTTCGTGCTCCGTACAGTGCATGGTCTAAAAGCATGTGAAAAGAGTGTTTTAGCTCGTTGGCCGCGATGTTCTTCATGGTGTCGGCCTTTTCGAATTTTTCGACGTTTATTCGTAAATGCTTTTTCCGAAAGGTACATTTCGCCATACGGAGAGTGATTGCTTGTTAAAATGCATTCTTGTGTCAAAGAATCCTGCGCAAGTGTCAACCAATAGCACAATTTTTGGTTGTCAGTCTACTTGTGCGCCACAAAGCACGAACCAGGCCGTATTGTTCGATTAAATGCAATGATTCGTTGATATTAGGATATTTCATTTAATTTCAATCAATTTTGCCCCCTTTTTGGTAAATTCACGAACCCAATAATCATGAATACGAATTTTGGATGGTTAACATGTTCGTCAATCCAAGTCATTACGACCAATCTTAAATCGCGCACACCACTCGTGGACTCTTCCTAGTTCCAAAAGGTTTCGTTACTTTGTTCTACACCTTGTACGTGTATAGGAATAACGCTTTACATATCTTCCCTATTTCAATTAACTTCACATGAGTTGCATAGCAATTTGGTGACCACACTTTGTGAAGACTATCAGGTTAAGCTCAAAAATATGATATTTAGATGTTTTTCAATAAATCGTTAAACGTGATTTTGTGTTACCCACAGATTGTGTAAATGCCGCATTTGTAACAATTTGTGTCGCATTGTACCACATTTGTATCTACATGAACGCTCGTTGTTTCTCATTTCAATCTTTATATGGTAAACACATGATAGTGTTCAGAGTATTATTGGTAGCCCTTTTAAGAGTATATAATAACGACAGGATATGTAATTATGTACTCTTGATGAGCGGTAAATATGATAAAGAATATTTTAGGCAAGTTTGCTCTAATGGCTGTTATGTGGCTGCTTTTTCATATATTTAAATTAACGATATCTTAAGTACTATATCTTAATGTGAAGCCCAACTACCTACTATAATTTCTTTCCTGAGATTTAATAATCAATATTTTTTAAATGTAACAAACAAATTATATTTTTAGAATACAAAATTTAATATTACCTTAACAATTATAATATTAATCAATAAAGCCTTAACCCTTCTGCAAGCTTTTAAAAATCGGTGATTCTATACCCAAGCTATAGTAAAACATATGTGTAATCACCATGATAAGACTAATTGATGAATTATTCGGTACATGGCCTTTTGATTGTTTTTATGCAAAATAGTTTTGCCCTGAAACTTTGCACATAGCCACATTTTAGCAAGCAGATCATTTGACAAATTGGATGGATTAGGCCACTATATCCAATTCCTATCATTAAAAATATCGGGGCTGATTGTGCAATAACTTATTTGTTCCTAAAGCTAACTCAACCGCACTTAATATGTGGTGACTACAACATACATATATACTATATCATAAATCAACGATTCAAACGGCTTAGAAATGCCTTTCTATGTAAAATTTGCTTGCTCATAAAGATGTAACCAATGACATTGGAGAGTTTAAGTCGGATTGGAATACTACTCGTATATCGTATAGTTGACATGAACAAGCAAATCGATCAGGCAACTGGTTGATCCTTTTAACTTTTTTCTAATTTTGTATAGAACATCAGACGGATAGCTGAAGCAAATACATCAATAAAATAGTTTAAAAAAAGTTGCAGGAATACTTATTATCGTAAGTTGTCTATTTAATTTCAAAAGCATGTTTATATATATATATATATATATATATATATATATATATATATATATATATATATATATATATATATATATGAAAATGTTGAACTTAAAGTATGTCCAATAGAAAAATTCTTGAGAACCAAATAGAATAAACTATAACAAACTTGTTCATAAGAAATAATGTTGGGTTTATGTTTGTTTCACATTGCACCACTAATTTACTTTGGATTTAATAATAGTCTTTTTAGATTGTAACGTTATACTTTTTTCTTTTTTTGAGTACGTATTTGACTGAACAATTTACAATATGAAGCACTTAAAATAAGTGTTATAAGGAAGGAAAATAACGTTAATAGTTAAATGACTACTATAAAAACGATTAATAAAACAAAGTTAAATATAATATAAAAGTTATAAGAAATGATATTCTCAATGAAATCAAATTTTTCATTACGTTTAAACAATTTATAAATTCGAAACACCATAAAGTTGCCTAGTTAAAATTCACATTTTAATCGAGTAAATGAATATAAACCAAT